CCGAACAGGAATCCGAATAACGTTGCATGGCGACTTTACAAAATGCACACCTTATGAACCTTTCGCTGTCGCGTCGAATTCCGCCCTGCAGGATTCTCCTAGGCGCACACTCGGGCTTCTCCTCATAGCTCTTCTATGAGCATTTCGAGGTCTCCGATCGCCTGTTGCGCTTGCAAAACTTCTACTTGAAGCTCGTGCTTTCTTCTTTCATCTGCGGTCCTTTGTTCATCCTCGACAGTGTCGTCAATGATTTGAAACGAATCTCCATCGGTTTCGAGATCTTCATAGACCAGTAGGTCATGGTCGATGTCCACCGTTTTGGCGTTTATCTCCGCTTTCTGCTTTGCTGGCTCTTCTTTTTTCTGTGATTCCAAGGCCTCTAAGACGCAGTTGCCTTTCCTCTTTGCTCATGTCTGACTCCCCGGTGCCCTCCGATGATGTGCGTGCGAATTTGTCACTGCCCAAACGACTTCGCATCCTTTTCAGAGCGCGCTGTCGCGCGAATTCCTCTGTGTGGACTTGTTGTTGTTGTTCCAATGATTCGTGATAGGCCTGCATATTTTCCGAAATCGTTGGTGCGCGCTCGTTGAGTTCGATGTTGTCCTCTGACTCCCGTAGTTGTTTTATGATCTCCATCTCGTTCGTTTCTCCGTGTGGCGCGGTCTCGCCCGCACGACAGAGTTCCTCACATGCTTGTTTCAGAGCCTCCATCGCCGCGATCAGTGGACAAAGCTTGGGTTACTTTCTCTAATTTAGTGTTTCAGCTTTATCCACACAATCCACACTCAACCACACCAAACAGTTTATCGACGAGGATGGCACCTTAAACTTGGGTAATTAAACCTTCGCCTTTTTTCTTCTTTTCCAAATAAAATACAATTACAAATAAATGCATAGTTAAAAACACACAAATAGACTAGTCTAGACCGCGTTGGAGTGCGTTTTTTGCGCGAACGAGTCTTCCGTAGTTGATTTTGCTTTCCTCCGGAATTGTACAGATTGCCGAATGATGGCCGTGTCTGCGGCAGTGAAAACATACCGTAAACCATCTTCTGCAGTCTCGTTTGCCCGGACACATCATTTCCAGATGCCGCATTTTCTTTGATCTATGATGATGCGCAATTAGCTTTTCATTTCTGGCACTTCGGGGCACGCATCGGAGTAGTGACGTCCGATCGCCTTGCAAAAGGCACATCTCATGTGCCTTTGTATTCGCTGTTCATGAGC